CATCATTTAATTTATCTATTAATCAAATAATTAAAAAATTAAAAATTAATAGCTTATAAGATTTGCCTAAATAAGGCGATTTTAATGGTTATAATTTTATAAAATTTGAGGCGATATTGGCTGAGATACATTAATTTGAAAATTTTGTAGTAATAGAAAAGACATTTCCTGTGACCGTTCATAAACCTAAAGAGATCGAAGAACAAGAAAGGGAAAAAAGACAATATCGCTGTAGAAAAAATCTTTGGAAATTACCTCTTTCATTGCATATGTTTTACGAGCTATTATTCTCTGATTTCACTGCAACGAATCAGATGGAGAAATCATAATAACTAAAATTTTCAAATATCATAAAGTTATGAGAAATCTTGATTTAAGTGAATATTATGATTCAGAATATACTGAAACAGAATCTGAATGTTCTAGCTCTGAGGACAAGAGCGAGAATAAAAAAGTCGAGTCATCTATAATAACAATGTGTCTCTTCTGATGATTATAAGCACATCTAATACTCTAAACGATTTTGTTACTATATTTAATGATTATCTTAGACAAGTAGATGGTGCACAGAATATTATTTTTACATTTCTTAGTCAAGAATTATCACAACTCTCTACAGAATAGTGGTACTCTACCAATTTAACTAATCTAATGCTCATTCAGTCCAGATTATAGGCCAATTTGAAATTGAACTGAAAATTTCAGTTCAGTTCAGTTCAGATTATAAATCTTAAAAATGCCAATCTGAAATCGAACTGAACTGTAAACTAGTAAAAATCCGAACTGAACTGAAAATTTCAGATTAATCTAAAATTTTAGATCGTTTAAAACAATAATTTTGTCGTTTCAATCGAACGATCCTTTTATCGTTCTTTTAGAATAATAATTTAATCATTCTTTTAGAACGATAATTTAATCATTTCAATTGAACGATTTTCTTATCGTTCATTTAGAACGATAATTTCAATCATTCTAAATAAACGATTCTTTTATCGTTCTTTTAGAATGATAATTTAATCGTTCTAATTGAACGATTTTCTTATCGTTCATTTGGAATGATAACTTCAATCGTTCCAAATGAACGATTTTTTTATCGTTCTTTTGAAATGATAATTTAATCGTTCCAATCGAACGATTTTTTATCGTTCGTTTGGAACAATAACTTTAATCGTTCTAAATGCACGATTCTTTTATCGTTCGTTTAGAATGATAATTTAATCGTTTCAATCAAACAATTCTTTTATCGTTCGTTTGGAACGATAATTTCATCATTCTAATTGAACAATGTTCTTATCGTTTGTTTGAAACGATAATTTCATTGTTCCAATCGAACAATTTTCTTATCGTTCATTTAGAACGATAATTTCATCATTCCAATCAAACGATTTTCTTATCGTTCATTTAGAACGATAATTTAATCATTTCAATCAAACAATTTTCTTATCGTTCGTTTGAAATGATAACTTCAATTGTTCTAAAAGAACGATAAATTTAATCATTCCAAACAATCTGAAATTTCGGATTAATCCAAAATTTTCAGTTTAATTCAGATTTTTTCAGTTCAGATTAGATTTATAATCTGAAAAAAATCCGAACTGAACCGAAAATTTTCAGATTAATCCGAACCATTTGGAGCTTTAAACTAATCTGAAGCAGTGATAATTAATCAGAATTTTTTTGTATCACAAGCAGGTCACGTAAAATTTTCTTGGTAAAATTTCAGCGAACTTAGTTCGCCCAAATCACGTGGGTGGCTTAGATAGTATACAAATATCATCTATATTTCTTTTGACGTCTCGTAATAGACGTTACTAGTCCATGTAAATCTGCAGAATATGCTATGTGTAGTAAATGTCACTGGCATCTGCAATCGTTATTTTTGCCGAAAGCACTAAGGCAAAGGATCTATTAATAATCCCAGCCAAGAGCAATATTTTTGTGTTAATATATTGATGGACTTTCCCCAAAGTTCTGGTATGTTCTATATCACTTATTATGCAGTTCTGAATTACTAATAAAAAAACACATACTGATTTTCATGCGAATTGTAAGACAGGACGCCGTTAAAAGAAATTCAAAAATGAAAATAGAGCGATTAAAATCTAGATCCTCAGATAAACGGTATATCCTACTAACGTTAGTGCATCCAAATTTCATGATAGTCTAATCACTTTTTATTCCGCCCCTTTTCTTCTTATATCCATTCGAAAAAAAGATTAAATATAAAAAATGTTATAAAGTAGCAATGTTTGGGTTAATCACACTGATCGAGGGGCACGAATAGGAATTAGCGATTTATCATCCTTGGATAAACGTAGATTTTTATTACGATATTTTTCCTTTTTTGTGGTTATAATTGGATAGAGGGTAATAGCATTCATTCTATATAATCCCATTTTTGGGCGATCTGTGTCAGTGGTTTCTCATAAGACCGGATTTTCTTCTTTGCGCTAATTGTTAAAACACATATTTGTAATTATTAGATGGGTGTCCAATGCGTCATAATGAAAAATGCGAATACAATGTATTTTCTACTCCTTGGTAAATTGAGTTAAATGTCCGAAAATAGGTTAATCATATTCCCGTATGTGTCAATCACTTTACATTTTTGCCAGGATCGTTATCTCATTAGGAGCGAGATTAACAGTTGGTTGTGAGAAAGAATATTGAATTATAAATACATAACTTATATTAATTATGGGCAACCTTTACAGAATCATGACGGAAATCAAGCTCACTTGCCGTCTCTTTCGTGGTATTGAAAAAAATTCTGAGAAAATTGAGTTTGTCATTGACATCTTACCTAGTGATTCTATCCATAAGGATTTTTGAAGAAGTCCAGAAGAAAAATGATAATATCTTTTCCGATATTAAGGCCAATTATTTGGAACTTTGGATGGTAAAAATTCGTAACAATAGTGAGGATGATTTTTTAAATCTTGTTCTGGATGAAAAGAACAAAGGCATGAAGTTGCTTGAGGAATATATTAGTGAATGCTGGGATGAGAAAAATCTTCCAAAAAAAGGAATGACTCATGTTATTGTTAATTCGCCACTTCTGTTGAAAAATCAAAAATTGGAAAGAGCGAATCAAGAATTGGAGAGAATGAATCGGGAAATGGATCAGCTGGTCCAACAAACGGCGGATTTGTCAATTAATCCAAGTAGTATCACTTAATGTAATGTTATGTTCGTTACATCACAGTATAGTTGTATCTCTAATGTGGATTTTTTTTTTTAGAACATGTAGGCTTTACTAAGTTCGGTGATATGTTGGCTGAATTAAAAAGTCGACCAGTATTTTACGGTAAGTTCCTACAATGAGTGCTGGTAAAATTCGCCTCGGACATTTGCTTTACGATGAACAGCTTTCAAGGAACATGAAGAGAAATTTACCAGCATTGTCTACAACTTCCTTATGAGCTGGAAAGTTTATATAGTTAATTCTTTTTATTAATATTTGGATATTACAACTTGTATTTAGAAATGGTTATATCCATGAAGGTAATGAAGTTAAATTCACAACTGATAATAGACCCGAAGTTATTACCACTTTAAAAACGAAAGAAGGATGGGCTTATATCGAATACAAAAAATTATTTCATCCCAGTGTAAATACTTTTTTGAAGACATTGTTAAACGTAAGTGATACTTTTAGTTGTAAACAAGCTCTATGCACGATTATTTTGGTTATCTAGAAGATTTTGACCATCTTGATTTTGACGATTCACAACTCCTTGTAAATTTCTTCTCCTTTCTCTTCTTGGCATGTCATCATAAGATATATTTCCAACGGAAAATCGTTTTAACTGATCAGGTCCTGGAGAATTCGATAGCCAAACCCATAATTTTATAAGGTTTTAAACTTGTTATAATATAGATAGAAATTTCATCTTGTATCATGAGCTAAAGCCTAAAATTTAATAAATATCACTGGTATCATATTTGGTATATGCTTTATTTGGTTTGACTACATCACTACATCATTTTATCATGTGATTTTGTATACGTCTAAAAAAGAGGTGTTATGTTCGTCATTTTTTTTTTGCTAGAAAGTTCTGGCATATATTTTCATCATTGAATTTATATACGGGAATAGCGTTAAATTTTTCTATTATAATTTTAAGGAGTATCCGATGATCTGATTTTCGTGAATCATAATAACGTAATTTCCTCCAAGATTTATTTCAGAAATCGATCCTTAAACCCACTACAAATCAATATAAAAAGGTGATACCTTATTTAGTGAACCCTCTTATCCGCCTTGTGCAAGTAAAGTAAAAAAAATCAAAAAAATTCAAACTTACCACTACTAACATCAACCAATAATGATCGATCAACGAGCATAATCTGCAAAGTAATAATAAGGTAGGACAGTCTATCGCTCAGCTAGCTTTTTGAAACATGTCATCATGATGTAAAAGGCTGAGGGTGAGAATCACGTAATTAGAAAAAGAAGTAGAAACAAGTTAGTTAGATTTTTTTGTAAATATGAGAGCAAAAAAATAAATTGATGCTGGAACTCGCATTAAATGGCCTAGGATCCGCGTGCTCCCTCCCTCTTTGATAGCATCACTTATTTCACTTGTACCATATATTTTCTGAAAATTAATAAAGTTTCGTCAACATTCCAATCTAGTGCCTCTGCATGGATGGTAATCATAAGAGTGAAGAGCAAGAACGGGGGTTTAGGCCGGTGAAAAACACTCGTTACCATCAGATGCATGGGCATATATGCCATGAAGCAGAATGTAGAGCAAGAACGGGGGTTTAGGCCGGTGAAAAACATTCTGAAGCACAGCAAAGTGTACGCAGTAGTGTACGCGATGATTTATTTGCGATCTTGTGTGACCCTCCTTGTGTTACTTTCTTGATCCGCGTATATAGGAAGGGTGCTTAATCAGTCGCGTATATGGATTATGATAACTATCGTGCTCCTTGGAACTCCACCGTTTCTCTCTACTTCAAGAAAATTTCTCTTAAGAATTGGTCTCACAAGCACTTTTACGAACAAACTGATATTATAGATTTAAAACAGGCAACTCTTGTTTGGTACGAAGACCTCTTCACAATAAAAAACCTTCCTGGCTTATTTCTCAGCGATAAATTGTTTGATGCCATTATAAAAAGAAAAATGGCTGACACGTCTGCTGTTAACGAAAAGAAGCGCAAATTTGCTAAAGATGCTGTACACACTAACTCTGTGAGTTTCGCCATTGTAGGCGCATTCAGAGGGTATATTGCTTTAGCTGATAGCTTTTTTCTTGCCTTATTAGGTCGTGACGTCTGCTGAACTTCTGAAATGTTCTTTTGATCACCATAGCAAATATACAAAACAGAAACTGGATGTTAGTGGAGATGACGAACAATCAGAGGGAAAAGAAGATCAATCTCCTTTTTCGGTAGGTTCTAATTGATATAAAGTTTGCCAATAATTTTTTATTTAGTTATCTAGATATTCATTTAGCCTTGATCTTGTATATGCATGTAGCAAAAACAAAATGACATGACACCTAAGAGGAAACCAGAAGATGTCGAGGAAGAAGATGACATTTACTACAAACCACACAGGACAGCACCCTCATCGTGGAGGAAACAGATGTTCGGCTAAGAATGGAAGGGTGGCGTAAAAAATCTAAATACGTTTCAGCAATCCACAAGCAAGAGTATGTCTGTCAATAACAACTTCATATATTATTATCTAAGGAGGATATTAATCGGTAACTTTATTTTACAGTCTGTTGCGCTATAACATAATCGATACTATTGGTTCATCAGCGACGAACGCACGGAGGCTTTTTGAGGATATTTGGGAGACTATGGTTATTGCTATGGAAGAGGTGCCTTCGATTTCAATAACAAAAGATGATAAAATAAAAAATTATACCAAAGAATTGTTTATGGGTGTGGTAAGTGGATGTTATTTTGAAATATTGAGCACGGCTTTGTTGAATACTGATTTGTTTTTTTTTTTATTAGAATTCACTCGAAAAATTACGAGAAGCAATTAAGTCAAATCGTTCCACATTGAGGACAAGTGGTAATACCGGATGGAAGAGACAAATTATAAAAATATCAAAGATTTTGTAAGTACATTGGTGGTTCTTTATGCTACAATCAATTCTGTGCTAATGCGCAATTTTATAGTCGTGATCAATTTGAGAATGGGAAAAATTCCTTCAAAGAGAAACAAACAGAATACCAATATATAATCAACTTTATCGCTCCGATATACAAAATTATGTTTAAGGATCTTCTACATTTGAGTTTTGATTGGTAAGTCTCAGCATATTTAATTTATTGCTTATTGCTATTTTTATTCAAAGTTTATTTACTGTATTATAATAGGGGTGAAAAGGCATTGAAATGTTCGGCAATCCTTTTAAACAAATCTCAACGAGATAATGATCGCCGTAGTCCTGGAAGCAAGATCGATACTATAATTAAGTTGATGGAATTGAATCTTGAATTTTCTATTGTGGAGGTCGCCGGGTCTCCATCAGATCCAGATCATTCTCATTATGTCGGAGACCGCAATAAGATAGCGAAAAATCTAAAAATTATTTTAAATTATATTAGAACGGAATATTCTGGGGATTTCCAACAATTTCGCAAGATTAAAGTGTACGGAGTACAAATTTATAGTAAGTATTATGAGCTGGACAGGTTGTACGTTGATCATATATTAATTACACGACTTTTGTTATGTCTAGATAATTTTTTTTATATATACAGCTTATCCTTACCTTTCTCCGGAGTTTATTATTTCAAGCAAGAATTTATGTTCGAATGTCCAACAATTACCTTACTTGTTTCTAAAGCATTACCGAAATTCTTAGACAACTTATGGAGAATACGAGTAGGTATTTGACATTTTGTAAAGAATGTTAGTGTACATAACGCAACTGATAATTTGAATTTATTAGGATATTATTTCTTCAAGTATTGAAAGCATCACTTCATATATCGAAAACATGAGAGAATCAGACGATGGTAGTAATGATACCGATCCGGTAACAATCTCACCTAAGAAACAAAGACAAAAATAAAAAATTTCGAGATTGCAAAAAATGTAAAATAATTAGAATAATCAGAAATTTTTTATTGGTTGATTTTATGATGTATTGGTTTGGCATATTACGTAATAAAGCTTTTACCAATGCAAGACAATTAGAATTCCTTATTCCAGATTATATTTTATCACGTTTATTATTTACCACATCGGGCTTGTATCTTTTTCGTGTTAATTCATATCGGAAAAATATTGCTGTTTATATTCGGGATGTACTCGATACAAGTTAAACTAGTAGTGACATCTGCGCAATCCGAGGAAATACCTTCGGTATCGTGTCATCCGAGGAATCGCCTGCGTTTTAAGACCTGTACACCATCTGTGCTTTCAAGACCTGTAAGGCTGTAGCACCTACAGTACTCTTCCGACATTGATACATAAATATTACATTCTGGTGTAGATGATTTAGATGATTTCTGCGACAGAAACACACTCAAATGATTTTTATTTTTTCTTTTTTGTAAATTGCGTTATCTGTTATGTAATATGTAGATACTGTATCAATAAAAATTTTTACAGCTATGATTCTCATAGGATTTTAACATAATACAACAAATATGTCTACTTTCCGATTGTAAGAATGTTGATAACTTAGAATCACGTCCAGACTGTTTCCAGGCACTCTCAAGTACTTTCTTGTTATTCTCTCGCAACATGAATCGCCAATTTACATGCATGTGAATACAAAATTAGCATAGTCGAGACATGACCCTATATAAATCCCCAATATGCTTATAATCGAATAAAAATGAATATGGTTTTATTATAGTATAATATTGCTAAATCAGCTAAAATCGCTAAAACATTATAAAATCATTATAATCTGTTATAATCTACTAAAACACTATTATGGATTTAGATAGTAGAGCCCAATATAAGCTAGT